TTCATATACTGTGTAGTTAAGCCTGTGATGGCTGAATCTCTACTGAACACTTACGAACTTTTTCTTGTTATTCTTCCACAAACAGTACAATGGAACAGATATTTGCATAGCACTTCCATTCCATTGAGTAGTTGAGGAATCCAGAGAGGATGCAAAGTGTAGGGAAGGATGTGCATAGGTTGTACAGTTTCTGTGCCATTTTATATAAGGGCTTGGGCATCTGCACATTTGGTAACTGTAGGGTCCTGGAACCAGTCTCTGAGCCTACTGAAGGATGACCACACATGTCCACATGCCTTGGTCAAAACACCAAGTCTGTCCATGACTCTGCATGGTCTACTGACCTATACCTTCCAAAGAGCAGGTAGCTAAACCCGTGTTCTCCCTCCATGTGCTGCGTGTACCCTGGGATGGAGAGGAGCTGGGATGCCGCAGTCTCTAGTTTCCCAGGGCTGATCCTGAGTGGGCTCCAGAAGTAATTCTGCTCCTGGGTGGGGCTCATGAAGACTGTCCCCTCCCTGACTCTTAACAATCCACAATTTTGATATTTTAAATGGGCACTGGATAATCAGCCTCCTTTGGAGTCTGAAGCAGTTTTCCCAGGCTGTTGTTTGTCCATGAAAGATAGGAGCACAGAGATAGTACAGGACAGTCTCCTATCTTCACTTGTCTTCTGACTTGTGGTTCATTCTGCCGAACTTTCCTATGTCCAGCTTGTTACCTACACAAGTGGTTCTCGGCCACGTTCACTGCTCTTTTCTCAGCATGATTCTGAGTTTGCTTAGGTGTCTTTGCTATTGCAAGCCAGTACCTCTCGCTCTCACCTTGCTTTCCCTTTCCCACTTTCTGTCTTAAATTAACTAACTCTGGCCCTTATGGTGTGAAAGGATTGTTTCCAGCACCTTCTCCAAAACCAACATCCACAAATACTCAGCTCCCATCTATAAAATAGCTGAGCATTTGCATGATAACCTCTGCAGTCCTCCCATACACTTCCAGTCATCTTGAGATGACTTTACAGTAGCTAGTAAAATGTAAGTGTTGTGTAAATCACTGTACTCTGTTGTTTAGGAGATAATGGCAGGAAAAAGTCTGTACCTGTTCAGCACAGCTGCGGTATTTTAAAGACATTTTGCATCCCTAGTTGGTTGAATCATGGCTGTGGAAGCTGAGGACAAGGAGAGCTGATTGCAGGGGGCTTGGCCTTACCAGCCTTCACAGGGAATAAAACACCTCCGTCCTTTCCCTCAGTGCTACATGCACAATTATGTATTTTACCGGAAGGCAGCGTAGTCCATTTACAGATTTTGGTGACAGCTCTGATTATACCTGCAAAGCGGATGCAGCAAGCTTTGGGCCTCACCAGCAGTTGTGGATGAGTCTTTACTGTTGGGAGGAACAGGCTGTGCCTCTTCCAACCCTCCCAGGCTCTGGGTCGGTTTTATTTTTTTCTTTTCTTTCATAATTGCTTTCAAACTGCCGAATTCTGTTCTGAGAAATTTCTTTCCCTGATAACTTAACAAGCACAGTCATTAGCAGTCAACACATGCTAATTAACATTCCTCTCCAGTCTCTGCTGAAAGAGCTACATGCTCATCTGACATGTGCTCTAACTCTTTACAGGTGTTGGATTTGCCAAGCATTTCACCCATGCATGACACTACTGGCCTCCCAGCCTATAGGCCCGTTCTGTATCAGTCAGTGCATGCTGAGTTACATAGCAGGGAATAAGGTCTGTGCATGTGCGCGCGCGCGCGCACACACACACACACACACACACCAACATATTCTTCCTCTCAGACCCTTCTGGGTGTGTTCTGCTTAGGGTCAATCGAGGAGAGGCAAGTATATGTTTTGGAAGGCACTTGAGAAGCACGAACATTAATCTGCAGGACTCTGTTTAGCCAAACCTGAACTTTTGAGGGACCTTCTGTTTTCTGGCATCTTAGTTACTTTCTCATCACTGAGACACAATACCCAACACCCACACCTCTAAGGAGGAAAGATTTATTTTGGCTCACAGTTTATAGTGGTTTCAGTCCATAGTTGGTTCCAAGACTGGGCAGCATGGCAGAGGGGAAACAGCTCATAGCATGGCAGCAAGAAGCAGGGAGAGATAAAAGGAGGAAGGAAGGAGATAGATCCTTCCAGGCCATGCCCACAGAGACCACCTCCTTCAACCCGGCTTTATCTCCCAACATCACATTTAGCTGTACACTCATCAGTGGAAGAATCCGCTGATGAGTATCATGGCCCCATGATCCAATCACCTCCCCAAAGCCCCAGCTATGAGCACACGAGGCTTTACAAGGTCATCCAGATAGAAACCACAACAGCTGGGGATTGCATGGCTCCTTCCATGGTGAAGAGCCACACTGATTTGAGGCTTGTAGGGAAGCTCCTTTGATAGCCTGCTCCCTGTGACTGCTTCTGTGTCACTCACTCCATGACTACTTAAATGCTTGTGCAAGAATCAGCTTCCCTGCACCATAAGTCCTCTTCCACTGAATATCTGGATACTGTCTTAGTTCATTTTCTGTTGCAGTAACAATACTTGAGACTGAATAATTTAAAAGATTAGAGGTTTGTTTGTGTTAGTTACTTTTCTCTTTTTGCAGAGACAAAATACTCAGCACCCAACGTTAGAGGGGAAGGGGTTTATATGGCTTACAGTTCATAGAGGTTCCAGTCCATAATCAGCTGGCTCCCAGATAGGGATGGCAAACAGGCCTCACAGAGGAGAAACAGCATGGCGCGCACAAGGCAGCAAAGGCAACAAGAGTCCTTAATAGTGTCTTTCTGCTCCTTTTATTTTATTTAGACTACCTGGATTAGGTCAGTGTCAAACCAATACTCACGGGTAGTGGTTTAGTAATCACAGGCCCTTAACCCCAGCATCACACATTCCAGATTTAGACATCTTGGAAAAAGGCTCCATGAGGCTTTTGGGGAACATCTAGATACAAGTCACAGCAGCTTGGCTCATGGTTCCAGAGCCCAGACAGGGCAAGGGCCTGGCACTGGCACCCTCTCAGCATCTGGTGAGGGCCATCCCGCTGCGTCCCTGTGTGTTGGAGGGCATCGCATGGCAGGAGAAGTAGGAGTGGTCCTCCTTCCTCTTCTTTAAAACTACTCATGTCATCATGGAGGCTCCACTCTCATGACCGCATTTAACCGTAGTCACCACTGAAAAGTCCCAACTCCAGATGCCTGCAACATATGAATTTGGGGATTCCCAGCTCGTAGAGTTTTGTTGGGCATATTCACACCATAGCAGACACCTTTTATTCTCTTAAATAGAACCTAAGTGATATGTCAGCCGTAATTTTGCATCCTGTGTGTGATGGTTGGACACACTGCATTTCTGCCCTGCCTGTGGCTGTAAAGCCTCCTTCCCTGGCTAGAGTGCAAGTCCTGTGAGGCCAGGAGTTTTCTTTTTGGCATGCTTCTGAGCTTCTGACGGTTGGCAGGGCCTGGCAGAGCCAGTGCCACAAATGAGGCTGAGTGAACCAGTCCATAATGGAGTGTGACTTGCATCCCAAATCTGTCTGTTGTAGTAGTTGGAAAGATCTTCAGCTGGAAACTCAGGACGAAGGACTGCTATGGGATTTCTTGAGAGTTACTGAATTCACACTCTGTAAAAGTAATAAAACTGTACTATCTCATATATAATGGGAACTATGAAAAATATTAGAAATATTCAAGCCTTATTTACATTTTTTCCTTCTTTTCTCATTTAAACATTTTGTATATAGGAGGGGAGGGGAGGTTGAAGCGAGGGAATGAGATTGGGGAAAAAGCATGACCAAGATATATCATGGACAGGTACAAGCTCCCTTTGATGAGTGTGATCGTTATGTATATTTAAAGTGTACCAATAAAATTAATTTAAAAATAAACTACATGAACTGGAAACATATACAGATAAAATTTTAAAAAGTGGGGGAAAGGCAAGAAGAGAAAGAAAAAATATGAGAAAAGAAGGAGAAACCGGAAACAAAGCCTTTGTAAATAGGGAGGGTGGAGGGCTGAAGGGAGGGCAGGGGAAGGGGGAAAACAAGGACCAAGATGCATCATGTACAGGTACAAGTTCCCAGTGATGAATGTGATCATAATGTATACCTACAATGTCCCAATAAAGCTCATTTTTAAAAATTAAATAAAGTGAAAAGTAAGAATTATGAAAGAAAATATCAAAGTCTCCAGCAATCAGTCTCTCCATCCTTCCTGCCCCCGATAATTCTTTCAGCTGAGGAGGAAATCGTCTCTGAGACCTCCTCTAGGTCCTGTTGCACTATCAGGCCTATCTTAGTTGTCTGCAGGTCTTTGTGGGCACTGTGAACCCCGTACCCTCCCTGCAGTGCTTTGCCTCTCTACCTGGAACACCTGCACCTTCTGTGGAATCTGCATCTGGCTTGAGTGCTATTCTCTATACTGTCATTCTGTGCTGTTGCTTGATTTTCTTACCTTTCTGGTTTTCAGTTGTATTGTTTGAGAAGACTTTTAAATAACAATAAATATTATTGTATAAGCTAATATTTGTGGATCACTGTGTACATGTTAGACATGAGTTTGCCTTTGATTGTTCTCCTTTTTCTTTGTAGCACATTTAGGAGGTGGACATGAGTTCCCCTACTTTACAGAACAGCAGTTGTCATAGGTCACACTGCCCATCAGTGTTAGGATTGTGAGCAGTCTGCATAAATGTGCTAAAATACATTTTACTGCTCATTCAGCCCCTCCTCGGACCTCTGCATCTGTTGCAGTGTAAGATTTACCAAGCATTATGTTATATCCCATGTTCTCATGCTATTGACTTATCGGCTTTCATCTGTTGGATCCTACTGTGTCAGACCAGGCAGGGTATTAATCTCTGACAAAGGGAAGAGTGACAGGTGAGGATGTAAACATGGCAGAGACCCAAACTTACAACAAGGAATGACGAAGCGTATGGAAACTCACTAATAGAATTGCCTTGTCTCTTCTTTGCTGTGTTTCAGGAATACCAAATCGATATATTTTTTGCTCAGACCTGGACAGACAGCCGCCTTCGATTCAACAGCACCATGAAAATACTTACTCTGAACAGTAACATGGTGGGACTGATATGGATCCCAGACACCATCTTTCGCAACTCTAAGACAGCAGAGGCTCACTGGATCACCACGCCCAACCAGCTCCTCCGAATCTGGAATGATGGGAAAATTCTTTACACTTTAAGGTAAGATGCTGTGTGGCTCTCCTTTAAAATTTTTAATCAACATGTAGCATTTGTACATACCAGGTACAGTTTATTAATTCAGTGCATGTATACAATGCATATTGATCAAATCAAGGCACTTAGCGTTTTTATGTCCTCCAGTAATTATCATTTCTGTATGTTTGGAATTTTTGGACTCTTCTAGTAATTTTGAAATGCATCATAAATTACAGATTCTATGCTATAAAACACTAAAACTAATTCCTGCTGTCCATGTGGCTCTTTAGTTACTTATTGTCTAATTTTGGATCCTTCATTTAAATTGCTGTCAATATGAGACCCTATTATGACCTTTAAGTTATATTATTTCTCATGTGGGACATACTATATAGCATCCTGAAAAAATTTGTCCTAATGCCATGTGCATGAAAATGAAAGTACACACGTGATCTGCAATGAGTACAAAACCATTTCTTCATCAGAATTTATTTCTGCAGGAAGGTGGCTTTAAAATTATCTTTTGTACATTAATATATTTCACCTCACGTATGCACTCAGCTAGGAAAATAGAGATGCCTTTGAGTTCGACTTAACACACATAGCAGTAGCGAAATTTGAGACTTGCCTAGCATGTGCAAGGCCCTGAGTTATATCCCCAGCACCACAAAAGAAGAAAGATCAAATTAGAGACCACAGGGACGAAGGGTGCAGCGGGCATTCCCCACACACCCCTAGTGGAGGAGGCACCACTCTGCAGAGTCCTCCTGAAGGCAGGGCGGACCTCACCAAAACCCAAGGAAGGGCAAACTGTGCTTCGAAGGAGTAGGCTGACTCGCCAGAGTCCCTGCAACAAACTGGTGCTAGCAGAGCTAGTTCTCTCCACAGGCTGCCTGCGTCGTCAGGGCCTAGCTGAGCACACGGCACACAGCGGACGGCATCACACCACTGACACCTGCCCCTGGCCGCCCTTCTGCTTGTTCAGTGCTGGGACCAGGACGGTGCCCTTTGGCCTGGAACTCCGGAGGGCACTGTCTTTGGGTCTTCCTGGGTCTCTCCAAAGCACGGCACACACCTCTGTTCTAACAGTCTGTGTCCCTGCCCCCAGAGGCCCTTGCTCCTTCCTGTGCCTCCTGCCCCTGCCCTTGGGGCTGCTTCTCCTCATCCTGCGGTTTCAGCCTCAGCACCTGGCCTCTGCCACTTCCCACATTCCCCTTGGCTAGCTCCATCCATCCCTGAGACTTTAAAGGCAGGTTCCGTTGAGCCAGAACATCCCTTCTGAAGTCTAGGTTTCTGGAGCCACAGTCCTGTCTGGCAGGCTTGGTGGCATCTGGAGTTCAGTCTGGCTCAGGGAGTGTTATGTTTCCCTCTTCTGTGCACAGAGCCACCCAGCGCCCTGCAGCCCCACAAGCTCCCTCCAGCACTCTCTCAGAGCCCACGGGTGCTTTTCTTCCTCACCCCACACCCTGGGCCCTGAGCCTTAATTACGGGTGCTTGTGGCCCTGAGGAGAAATCTGTGACTCTCAATGTTAAACAAGAGTCCAGAGCATAAATGTAAGCACCAACAACACCACAATCAGCCAGAGATAAGAGAATATTTAAAGGTTCAGGGAAAGAATAATTTTGCCCACAGGGAACAACAGCAATAATAATTTTTTTTAAAGCCAGGGAGAGAGGTTGACTGATGAAATACACTGGAAGAGCTGGAATTTCTAACAGGTGTGTCATCAGTCCTAGAGCAATCAGAATGAGACTCTGAAATGAAGTTGGCCCTCAGAAAACCAGGATGGAGACCTGGCCCGTCCTGGGATGCTTGGTAGGAATCCTGTCACAGGGCTTTGGAAGGATATAGAGTACTCACTTAGTGAGGCCACCACCTGCTGCTCGAAGGACAGGGCATTGTCTAACCAGGAAGTCCCCCACTCCATACATGTGGATTGATTTTGAGAAAATGCCCTTTTAGACAAATATGCCACTTTCAAAGGGAGGAAGTATTCCATTTAAACAGATTGAAAACAATGACTTATAAAACAACAGTTGGTTTATTTCCTTCTCTCTGACTTGGCTTGCATTTTTAGACACAGTTGGAATTTTACTAATTGGAATTCTCTCCACTACTGATAGTTAAAAGCAAAACAAAATAATGCAAAAGCAACCAAGTGGCCTCACTGAGCTAACACAGTTGCCAGGATGGACCCTGCTTCGGTGACTGCCCTCCTGCCCCCTGCATTGCAGTACCTTACCCACCCTGCAGCCCTGCCCAGGGGCCCAGGCTTTGTTGCTGTTGTCCCCTGATAGTGACTGTGGCTCTCCCACAGGCTCACCATCAATGCGGAGTGCCAGCTGCAGCTGCACAACTTCCCCATGGATGAGCACTCCTGCCCGCTGATCTTCTCCAGCTGTGAGTACCATACCATCTTGGGGTCAGGCGCTGCGGGGAGAAGCTGCTCTGGTGCTGGCTTCTGGAAAACTCACGTGATTGTTGACAGTCTCACTGTACAACCGAAGAAGACTGATAGTGGTTTTAGAATTGATGACCTGGATATTTTTACGCTACTTTGTTACACAGGCCTTATGTTTCACTATAGACAACTTTAGCAGAGCAACTGTGCCCTGCATGGTAATACCGACGGATTCAGAAACTCGTGACCAGTTGGCTTACAGAGACTCATAGAAAAGACTGAGCTGTGCAAATTATTCAGAAGTGTACAGAAATTATGTTCCAGTAGTGTTAGGGTTATTATTTTAAAGACAGGTGATTTGTCTTCTATATAGGAAGATAAAACATTCCCCTTTAAATATGTTATATTTGTCTTACTGAATTATTGCAAGATAAAATTTTCACAGTATTTTATCTTCCAACATTTTTCTTTTGATTTATGTAATAGCTAGCAATCTTTTACAAATCCTTAAAGACAAAGTCTAATATTAAATGCAAGAGTATGTATATAATAAAATATCAAATATCAAAATTATTTGCTTGGAAAGCTTTTAAGATCAATATGAAAGTATATCTGTTGACTTTAAGATGGTTCATTTAAATGTATTAATCACAAGAACATCTGAATGAAGCATAAGAATTCAATTACCTTTACTGGCTTTCTTTAAAATTGCATGTGAAACATTAGAAGTAAACCTAATGAAGTCTCAGTCAGACATTTTTATGAAACAAGGGAGGAACATACATTATAATTCACTTTAGGTTAAGAAAGGACAAAATAGAAAGCAAAATTTCACTTGCTGATCTAGACTGGGTAAAAGTACTCTTATGTAAAGAATAGTTTAATTAGATGAATCTAAACCTATTGTATTTGTTGCTGACATCAATGGTGGATACTTAGCAAGGGGACACAAATGTCGGTGATGTCGATTAAACGTACATGTGGAGCCAATTGAGCTGGGTTTTCGCCATTTATTTAAAAGTTGCACAACCACTCATCTTGTCTAGTGCTTTGTGAGTCAGTTTGGTGTATGTGTGCATAATGTTTCTGACTGATTCATGCATCATAGTTTATCGGTGAACCCAGCTGACTCTGTTGATCTTTCTGATGCATTGATATGGTACTGAGTGTGTGATTTTAGTGGCTGTAATTTCTTTATTACACATTCTATTTTGTTGCTTGTTCTAATCTTCAGTGCAATCGTGACAGCCTCTGATTTCCTCACCAAATTTTCAGTGACGTCTTTTAAGTTTTCAGAAATATTGACATCTTTGTGGGAAGGCTTTGCACAATTTGTTGCTCTGTTATTTACTAATTTGACTTCATGTTTCCTGAGACATTTTTTGTTGCCAAGTCTTGTATTTAAGTGGGCTTCTTCTGAAGACAGCTTGCTCTGCCTTTGCCTGATGACTATTCTCTCATTTTTATTTTTTAATTCTAATTTATTAAACTAAGTAACACTGTCAATTATCAGATCCACTGCCAAGCACATGGTGCCTGGAGTTTTAAACTAATGCTACTTATTCATTGATAGTCCATGTGAAATTTATGCTGGCAATTTCTTTTGTAAATCCCTTTTATTGAAGTATAGATTTTATGCAATAAAATACATGTGTTTCTATTAAAGATCTATGAAAATTGTATATGCCTGTGGAAACACCACCACATGCAAGATTAGACCATTCTCATCACCTCCAGGTATTTCTCTTTTGCAGCTTGTTTGAGGAGAGGAGAGAATTCTAGGATTGAAGCCAGCACACGCTGAGCACCTATTCTACCCCTTAACTACTATACCCCTACTTCCTCTTTTACATCTTTTCAAGAAATTCTCATACCCTTTGCCATGGCAATCACTGATTTCTTTCTGTCACCACAGATTAATGGGGTCTTTTAGTGTTCTGTATCCATGCCTGACTTCTTTCACTGCGCAGAATATCTTGAAACTTACTCTTGCTTGTACATGTATCAGTAGTTCATTTTTCTATCACTTTAAGTTAAAGCTTAAACCTGGATACCTGGGCCATACAGATGGTGTGAATTTTTGCTGCATACATGCCTTTGTGATAGAGGCCTGTGGTTATAAATTCTTAGGGTGGAAAAGTAATCTTTTGCATTTACATTGTTTCCATAGCAAAAGCTCAACGGGGCATCTCCTTTAAGGAGAGTTTTTCCTGAGATTTCCCCGCTGCAGAGTCCAGCCTTTCCTAAGGTTCTGATCAGAATGGCCACTCTAGGAACCAGCCCTGGCCCTCCTCCCATTGCTTGCTTGTGGGGAAGCTTGAGGCCCAAGTCCAGGCAGCAGAGACCGGCCAGGCCCCTATGCTCCAATGAAGACTTTTCTTCTTAGAATTCCTATCTCTTCCCCACTGGTTTCCCTTGCTCCCTCATGCTTTAAAAATGTGCTTAAATATTTTACAAAGGCTTTTAAGCTTTCTGTTCTTGAAGCTGATTATCTGCATGTGGGGTTTGCAATCCTGCTAGAAAGAAAAGAGTTTGTATGGATTATTTTAAATATTTTTACAGAAATAAAATAATTTAAATTCTTAAAGAGAACTCACATAACACATACCACTGAGGTAAATACTTCCTAACATGTTAACTATCAGTAATACCTTTCTGGACTTAGTTGAGGATTAGCACAAAGCAGTGGGGAGAAATCTGTTACAGTAGAAGAATGGTTTGTAAGACAAATTTCCTTTGTATCTGTGTCTCCAGTATGGTGTGGTGGTAGGGATGGGCAGAGTGAATGTAAAACCTAGGTAATGAAGAGTCTTATACAGAGTGTCAGCAAGGGGCACTTTTAACTGCAGGCAATTCAAAGCTCAGTTGTCTGAAAATCAGATCATCAATGGCCAAAGTTGCGTTTGGCAACAACAGAAAATAAGTTTCATAAGAGCAAAGCTGGATATTGTCACTACGTGCCCCCTGGAATGGCCAAGATCGCAAACACTGACAACTGCACATCGGGTGAGGGTGGAGAGTAGCAGAGACTCTCATTCATCACTGCTGCAAATGCAGAGCAGCGCAGCTGCTGTGAAGGACCTGTGGGTAACTTCTTACAGAGTTAGACAGACTTTTACTGAAGGAGGCAGACTTTTACTCACTCTTTGGTATTTTTCCAGATGAATTGAGGACTTACATCCACACAGAAACCTGCCATAGCAGCTGTACTCATAATGGCCAACATTTGGAAGCAACCAAGATGTCCTTCAGTAGGTGTCTTAGCTATTTTCATCGTGGCTGGGACCTAAGACCTGGCGTGTGTGCTGAAGGAAGAGAGGCTTATTTTGGCTCACGTGTTTTAGGAGCTTCAGTCCTTGGTCAGCTAACTCCAGGGCAGACACGGAATGGGGAAAGTCTGTCTCAGAGAAATAGTGCACACCACATCGTGGTGGTCAGGAAGCAGAGACGAAAGGGAGGAGCTGGGGAGGGAACTACGTGCTGCAGGGTCATGCCTGTAGGGATCCACTTCTGTCCAAGGCCCACCTCCTAAGTTCACATTTAGCTGTAACACGATTCAGTGATCTTCCCAAGCCCCACCTCAGAGCACAGGAGGCTCTTGGGGAATATCTAATATAAACCACAGCAGTAGGTGAATGGAAAAATGAACTGTGGTGGTCTAGATACTGAAATATTATTTAGCACTAAAAATGAGCTACTCAGCTATGAAATGACATGGAGGGTACTTTCGTGCTCATTGCTAAGTAAAAGAAATCAAACTGAAATGACTACATGCTGTTTGATTCCAGCTACCTGACACTCTGGAAAAAGCCAAACTGTGTGTACAATAAGAAATCAGTGGCTCTCAGGTGCTGAGAGCAGGGAGGCATGAACAGGCCGAGCACAGAAGGTGTCTCGGACAGTAAGTAAACTCTGGGTGATGCACCATGTATTTACCCAGAGCCACACAGGGACCACACCAAGTGTGAGCCCTAGTGTAAGCCAAGGGCAAAGGCTGTACGATGTGTCCAAGCAAGGCCCTTGGTCACCACAATTATGGGACTCTGCTGGGGGCTGTGGATAGAAGGGAAGGCTGGGAAGGGGAAAGGAAAGAGAGGCATGAGAACCCTGTGCTTTCTGCTCAGTTTCACAGTGTGCCTAGAAAGGTTTTGCAAAAAACCAAGTCAAAGAAATCTGGAGGTAGAGAAATAAGAATCTATTCCTGTCATAACTGAGAGTGCCCTATAGAGCCATTCTATCAAATACAAATTAACTGGGAGTGCCAAAGTATGTAACTGTGCATTAAAGTAACAATTTATCGAACTAATTTACATGTATGAAATTCACTCATCTGTATAGGATTGCTTTTTTATAAGTGCGGATAACATTCTTAATGAAACCTGCCTTTATAATTTGGAGTTATGGAGGACAATTATATTAGTATCAGTTCGTTGTATAATTTGTGTCTACATTGTTGGTTTATATTATCAGGAAAAGCTGATCGTGATACTGACAAGCAATTGAAAATGTAGTAGGCTTTTTGTCTTGCAGTATCATGTTACTTTTCAGTTAAATATAATTGGAAGCTTAAGTTTTTCCATTTGAAAATTGAAACAATACAAAACTGAACAAATGTATTTTTGTATCTTACAAACAGAAGCTAGGAAAACTACCCAGAATGTACAGCAAGATTTAACATAATCATTGAAGTGATTGCAACATATTTCTACTTTATAGACAACTGTCTTTGCAGGTGAAAAGCTTCACACCAATAAATGAGCTAGGGTTAAACATCCTGTGGGTGCTAATGTGCTTCGGTAGTAAATTCCCTAATAGGACACTGTTACCTGAGCAGGCTGTGACTGCCTGTCAGTGGCACAAGCAAAACATCTCAAACAATGAAAGATGTATAAAATTTTCCAGTACATGCACAGGGACGCGGTGATATCATTTGCTACAGAGCAGTTTGTTGTTGTTGTTGCTATTATTACTACTAATTTTGGTACTGGGATCAAACCCA